TGGAGATACATCCGTCAATGATTTAAAAGCCAATACAGGGATTCCCTCAATTATATATTATAATGTTAAAAAGAAAGAGGAAGCATCAATACAACCTCAACATTTAGGTCCTAAACTTAAACGGCAAATCTTTCCCCAAAAAGTGCCAAGTGTTGAACCACAGGAAGACATCTGGAGAGAAAAGGAGAGTGCAGAGGAAAGACTGCCAGGGCTCAATGGAGTCCTCAAGGGGCCAAAAGGCAAACAGAAAAGACACTTCAAGGAAGTGAGTAAACAAAGCTCCTGGATGAAACAGACTGCCCAGAACCTTGTGGACAGTACTCGTAAAAAAAGGCTTAGGACACCTCCAACAAGCGAGCTGGAGCCGCTTCATGGGGCTCAGGAGCCCAAGAAAATGGCGGGAAACTCCTTGCCCACAAAGCCCTCATTCATAAAGAAACTTAAGGCAGTAGCCGCTTCTTTCCAGAAACAAGACTCTGGGGGAAAGGCCTCCTTATCCACCGTTGTAAAACCCCTACGTGAGGACGGAAATAAAGACAAAGACTTAGCCGACAGCATGTTTATTTTAGAAGAAGCAAATTCTAGAGTTAAAAGCATGGAGGCTTCTAATCCAGTCATCTATTCCCAGAAAACATACCATGCTCCTGTGGACCCCAGAATACCCAGGGCCAAAATGAGTCAAAAGTTCAGAAAGAAAACTTCACGCTTTAGACGACTGCTGGTAAACAGGCCTCCATTTTCTGCAGTAAGGAGCCTCATCCATTCCTCTTCAGGAGGGGACTTTTCATCATGGGGAGAGCTGAGGTCTAGGGAGAACTCTTTTTCAGAAGTCTATGCTCCTTCAAAGACTTCTGTAGAGAGCACTCCTGTAAGACACCAGATTGTAGCAAATGCTGTGGTAGGAAATACTCCTGCACAAAACGACCCTGTGCCAGAAGGAAGTCTCCCTAAAAACACAATGGGAACGCCTCAACATAGGCCCTGATTCATCTGTGAAGGCTCCAATCACCCATGCCCAATTTCCATCCTTTGGCGATCATTTTGAATTGCAGTTAAACCAACAGCTGAGGCCCCTCATTCCTAATAATGATGTGAGAAGACTCCTGTCTCATGTTATCTGGACCTTAAAAATTGACTGCTCTGAGACTGATGTGCAAATGGCCTGTTCTAAACTCATCTCCAAAACGGGCCTGCTGATGAAGCTTCTCGGTGAACAGCAAGAAGCCAAGATGTCAAGAGCTGAGTGGGATATGGACCAATGGAAAACAGATAACTACATCAATGAAGCTCCAGATGAACAGAAGGAACCAACTGAGGTGAGGCAAGCCCTGATTTCCCCATCCTTTAGATACACCTTGGAGGAAGACCTGGGCTTTAGTCCATTCCAAAGTCATGTGACCAGGAAAGTGCTCCGTACTCTTCTCCTTTATAGAGTAGAGTGGACCCAACACCCAGAACAAGTATAGAGAAATTGCAAAGTAGTAAGACATATAATACATTAATTTTTCCATTTGGTTTTTGTTTTTCCTAGTTAACACAAGAAGTTCCGGGATATGGCTATAACAACAAAATCATCTTGGCAATATCTGTGACTGTAGTAGTAATGATTTTGATTATAATTTTCTGTCTCATTGAGGTAAGGACCACCATTCATACATGTTTCCACATTATATCTTGTTTCTGTAGTAGTAATGATTTTAATTTTCTGTCTCATTAAGGTAAGGACCACCATTCATGCACGTTTCCAGATTATATCTTGTTTTCTGTAGCCAAAGCCGTTTCCCACTCTCCAGATAGGAATGCTTTGACAGTGCATAGTGGTTTCCCTATGGAACAGTCTTGATCATTTTCAGTCCTGTGGTAACAAGGTGTGACTGCTCCTACAATAAGAAGTGAGGTCTCTTGTTTAGTAAGAGTTGAATTTGATGCCAACTAGTTGGGGACCACCCTAGGATCAGTGTGCAAAGGCCATTAGTAATTGATCACTGGCCATTGAACAGGCAGGCCAACTGAATCTCCTAGTGCCTCATTGTTTATCTAGAAATTTCTTATAAACTCCTGTATTGCCTTTAGTTTTTATGTACAGTCCAACGTTGTCTTTATATTTATATTTTTTCATTATTTTCTCTGCTTACTTAGATAAGCTCCATGAGTAGAGGGGGAAATGCAGTGTTTCCCTTGCCATTGAAAGTCATGGTCAGGGGCTGGGAAGGTGGCTCAGTGGTAGAGCGCTTGCCTTGCATGCAGGAGGCCCTGGGTTAGATTCCTTAGCACCATATAAGCAAAAAGAAAAAAGCCGAAAGTGGTGCTGTGGCTCAAGTGGTAGAGCACTAGCCTTGAGCTGAAGAACTGAGGGACAGCGCCCAAGCCCAGAGTTCAGGCCCCATGACCGGACCCAAAAAAAAAAGAAAGTCATGGTCAAAGATGGAGATGAGACATTGTGCTAAGGATCGGTGTTTGAATGTTACACCAGCTGACCATGTACTCTACTCCTGAGCTATACTTCTAGCCTACAAAATTTGAAATGTCACCTTTCAATATTCTAATTCATGGGAGAAAATAAACAAGTGATAAAGCTACCAAACACTTTTTAGGAGAGGGAGTACTAAGTGAGAAATGATTCCTATCTTTCACCTAAAGAAGTATATTTTTTCAGTAAGTGTAAAAAGAGAGGGCGAGAGAGAAATCATAAAAGCAATAGGAGACTGTACACAATCAAAAGAGAGCTTTCTCTGCCTGATCCCTTAAGCAGAAACTTTTGATACATGTGCGGATACTAATTGTAGATTGTCTCATCTAACCCTTACAAAAGACCTGAGAGGAAGATCTCATCCATCCTCTTCCACAGTTGGAGGAGATCAATTTCACGTCCCAGTGGCAAAACCAAGGACAGAAACACAAATTCCCCTGACGATAAAGTCTGCAGTCCTTATTAGCTCTGTTCTGTTTTGCCTCCTTAGAGAAAATAATACCAGGAAATACTTCAAACATCAAAACACTATGTAAACCATCACAAACAATTGAAAAGACTAACATAGTTAATGTAAAAGAGAGTTTGTCAGAGTAAGAAAGAGACAACAATCCAGTGGAGGGGCCAGGACTCAGAAGAGCATGTGCATTTTTCTAGTTTCCATTACAACCTATGGCAGACCCCCCACCCTTGCATTTTAGTTTATGTTATGTACTCTGGAGGGAGCGGTCTTTGTTACCTCATGGAATAAAGACGGTTGTAATACTTTCCTAAGCTTGTCTTACTATTTATAGCTTTACTCCATATGGAATTTGTTCATGTTTTGGTATGGTTGAGATAGAGAATTTTTTTCACCTTACATGAATATGGAGTTGTCATAAAACAGTTCTTATTAAATGGTTCATTCATTTTCCATGGGTCTAAAATACCACATTGAACTCTTCCCTTGATCCAACTGTCTTTCCTGCACCAACCCGTGCCAGCTATTAATTAATAACTGTTAGTCCTAGTAGCTTCATAATGCTTCTTTTGTGTAAAGTTTGTCTGGGAATGTGGCTTAGTGGTAGACTGCTGGCTTAGCATGCATGAAGCCCTGAGTTTGATTCCTCAGTACCACATAAACAGAAAAAGCCAAAAGTGGCACTATGGCTCAAGTTATAGAGTGCTAGCCTTGAGCCGAAAAAGCTCTGGGACAGTGCTCAGGCCCTCGGTTCACAACCCCAGGACTGGCAAATAAATATTTCAAAGGTAAGATAATCAATCTTCTGCTCTTAGATCTTCTTTGCCAAATACCAGATCACTCTTCTTACATACTTTCTCTTCCAAAAGAGAACCTCTTAAAAGTTGTG